CATTGTGGAGGACCCCCTGTTTTGTTTCCCCCCCACTTCTCAAACCAAAGTTACACCCTTGGGTAAAGGCTTATTTCTTATTTATCACTTACAGCTTTGAGACATGTTTTGTATTTACGTTCATTGAGATGCTTTTCTTTGCTTTGTCTGCAGGAGAAATCCATCTTTGATCTAAAATCCAGTGGAATTCTTGAGACGGAAGCAATTGTTGGGAAAGTTGTTAAAAAATCCGAGCTGGTTTATCCTGAGAGTCCACTTACCTCCGTTAAAGACATCAAATCATCTCCTCTCAAGACATACGTGAGCGTCGAAGGAACAGTCACCCAGGTGAGTTCAAACTGCAGACCTACTTCATGGAGCCTGGTTAGGTTGGTAATGCATTCAACAAATGTTTGTTTTACATTTTTTAAATGCCTTTTCAAGATCTTATGAACCTATTTATTCACGGATAACTAAAGATAAACTAATGGACCAGTCATTGGTATGATATTTATATATATTTATATATATAAATATTTATATATATATATATATATATATATATATTTATATATATAAATATTTATATATTTATTTATATATATTTATATATTTATAAGGCAGTTTGTTTTGAAATTTGGTGAAATAGAAATCATTGTTGTGCTTCCTCTGCTGCTCAGATTGATCGCATCAAAAAAGTGAAGGTGCAACACGAGGAGAAGAAGACGAAAAGGTTCAAACTGAAACAGGAAGCTGAGGAAATCAGCGTCACCCTGTGGGACGAAGCCATCAAGCAGAGCAAAGACCTTTCAGTCGGAGACGTCCTTCTTCTGAACAACATGAAGCGCAAGGTGTACTTAAGGGAAGTGTATCTCAACTCAACTCAGTTCACCAAAATCACCAAGGTACCTGCAGCCTCCAGTTAGACAAGTTTAATCTGTGATGACAGCTTTCCTCAAAATCTCAAAATTCTGACTTTTTCCTCAAAATGTAATTTTTTTCTCAAAATTCAGATTTTTTTCCCCTCAAAATCTCAAAATTATGACATGATCAAATAAAGTAATGTTCCCTCTCTGTAAAATAAAGGACGACATAAGACAAAATGAACAAATAAGGAAATAAGAATAATAATGATTAGAAATCAAATGAAAAGGTGATGTTGCTGATACAAAGCTAACCTGAAAAGAGGGGTTGTTTAAGTCGTGGCGTCTCGACTTCAGGCGAAAACGCTCGACTTCCAGCTGAAGAAAGGCTTTGGTGCTGATCTACCGCTCTCAGTGGAGGCTGAAATACAAGAAACAGAATCATCAAAATGACAGACCCTGAGAACATCTGAAGGGGAGTTCTGCAGCATTCATGTGTTACGTGCCGTGGTGTGTGTGTGTGTGTGTGTGTGTGTGTGTGTGTGTGTGTGTGTGTGTGTGTGTGTGTGTGTGTGTCTCTCTCTCCCTCTCCCCCTGATTGTCTCCAGGTGCAGCCTCTCCCTCAGGTGCTCCCAATCCCCAATCAGGGCCTCCATAAAGGACCTGAGGAAGGCTGCAGTCTCTCTCTCTCTCTCCTCTGGCTGCATGTGTGACCAGTGCAGCTTGTGTGGTGTCTCTGTGTGAGACCTTAGAGTTTAACCTGTGTTTTATTAATTGTTAGGAGATGTGCTCCAGTGTACTTTAGTCACTTTCTTTAATAAGAAAGTTTACTTTTTGACTAATTAAAATATCACCTTGTGTCTTCAGAAATCAGTTTCCTCTCTTTTTTCTCTCTCCCGGTTATTTTTATATTTTGTACCCCTAGTCCAGGAGGGAACGTAGCACATGGGAAAAACGATTCCCCTCAGAGCTGAACACGTTCTGATGTCTCACTGCTCAGGCTTTCTGTTCCAGTTAACATTATTTAATACAACTCCAAATTAAATTCATGTGCAATGACCCTGACACACTTCTGACCATAAAAGACATGCCCCTCGAAACACAGAAACTGTTTTTAAACACAAGATCAAGGTTCAAGGTTCTTTATTTTTGTCAAAAAAAAGCCAAAGGTAGGAAATCAGTTATTGTTCTACAGAAATGTCAGGTTGTTCATGATGTCGTGTAAGAAGAGTGTCCAGTAGATGTGAACATTATCAGAATGTCGTTTTTTTTTGCACTAAAACAAAGGAAATAGTGCTGTGACCCCCGATAGCACATAGAAACTGCTGGATGCTAACCTGCATATATGTTGGGACATTTGCACAATTAGCATATGAAGATAATAGTTTAGAAATGTCTTGGCCGATGTGGACCGTTTTGGAGTGTTTTAGGGGGTTATTGGGGATGCTGAATCCATTTCTGACATTTTCAGGGTCAGAAATGACAGTTTTAACCAGAAAGAGGCCATATTTGTACTTTTTTAAAATTAATTCTGGGTCGATTTGAAAGTTTTAGGGGACACTAAAACTGACATTTTTTATCCTGAAAGTGTCAGAAATGGACTAAGCATCCTCACACACCTCCTCATGTATGATACCATGCTTTATATATTGCTACAGTCAATTTGTAATTCAACTTGTATATTTTCTACTTTTTAATGCTATTTTATTTCTATTTGAGATGTTTACATTTTAGATTGTTTATTTCTAGTCTTTTAATTTCTCTCATATACAATGCCTTGTCATTTTATGCTGCAACGCAAACATTCAGACTTTTTCCTAAAAATCAAAAAATTCAGACTTTTTCCTCGTGTCGACTAAATCTTCCAAATGGACCCAAAATTAATCAAAATCAGCCCACAAAGAGTACAGGTATGGCCACTTTCTGGTTCAAACTGACATTTCTGATCCTAAAACTGTCAGAAATCGACTCAATAACCCCCAAAACACCAAAATGGGCCAAACCATTTGTAAATATTGTCTGCATAACGTATGCAGGTTATCCAGCAGTTTCTATGTGCCGAAGACACTACTATACATTTCTATCATAAAACTTTGGGGTACTCAACATTTCCGGGTTCAAACTGTCGACGATGATGTGACCCCTGGACTAAAATGGGTTAAATGCCCCTGATTTAACTCCTTTATCAAACTCTATAACTCCCTTCAGTAAAGGGAACTGAGAACTTCCACACCACCACTATGTGCAAAATAAATACCATTACCATCATTATACACTCTCTGCTATATAACATGTGCAATATTATTATTATTATTATTAATAACGTGCAATTACGTATCTGCCACTACGTTTTTTTTGCACTACTAAATACTGCTCGTCACTGTACAGTATTTTACATTAATTATGTGAGCGTCTATGTTTCCTGTAATTATTTTATTGCTCTTTTTACTGCACTGTTATTGTACAGTTTTAACGGATAAATAAAGTCCTATCTTATCTGAGAAGTTGTTGGTATGACTGATAATTTCCCTTTATTTAACTCTTATTTAAAATGTCTTTATTTTGTATAAGACACATTTTTATAATATGTTAATGAGATCCTGTTCACAATAAATGAAACTTAAGGAAGGTTTCTTTTGGGCCAAACCATTCTTCACTGGAGGGGGGGACTGACTGGATGTCATGAGGGATTAACAATTAAAGTTTGGAGAATATAACCCCTCTTTAAAGTAGAGACACTACATACTGATATACACCTGAACATCAGCAGGAGAGGACTCTTTAAAGTAGAGACACTACATACTGATATACACCTGAACATCAGCAGGAGAGAACTCTTTAAAGTAGAGACACTACATACTGATATACACCTGAACATCAGCAGGAGAGGACTCTTTAAAGTAGAGACACTACATACTGATATACACCTGAACATCAGCAGGAGAGGACTCTTTAAAGTAGAGACACTACATACTGATATACACCTGAACATCAGCAGGAGAGGACTCTTTAAAGTAGAGACACTACATACTGATATACACCTGAACATCAGCAGGAGAGGACTCTTTAAAGTAGAGACGCTACATACTGATATACACCTGAACATCAGCAGGAGAGGACTCTTTAAAGTAGAGACACTACATACTAATATACACCTGAACATCAGCAGGAGGACTCTTTAAAGTAGAGACACTACATACTGATATACACCTGAACATCAGCAGGAGGACTCTTTAAAGTAGAGACACTACTGATATACAGCTGAACATCAGCAGGAGAGGACTCTTTAAAGTAGAGACACTACATACTGATATACACCTGAACATCCGCAGGAGAGGACTCTTTAAAGTAGAGACACTACATACTTATATACACCTGAACATCAGCAGGAGAGGACTCTTTAAAGTAGAGACTCTACATACTGATATACACCTGAACATCCGCAGAAGAGGATGTAATGTGACACCGGTTTCCTCTCAGGTAAACACCCACAGACCCGCCCATCTAGACTGTGATTGGTTGCAGGTTTGGCGGCAACATTCATTTCCTGCCATCCATTGCAGCAGAACAACCGCAGGAAGATCTCGGAGCAACACACTCTTATTGGTCGGTAAAAACTATGGATGTATTGGTAAAAACTCAAAAGTGTTGAGGACTCTTTAAAGTAGAGACACTACATACTGATATACACCTGAACATCAGCAGGAGAGGACTCTTTAAAGTAGAGACACTACATACTAATATACACCTGAACATCAGCAGGAGGACTCTTTAAAGTAGAGACACTACATACTGATATACACCTGAACATCAGCAGGAGAGGACTCTTTAAAGTAGAGACACTACTGATATACAGCTGAACATCAGCAGGAGAGGACTCTTTAAAGTAGAGACACTACATACTGATATACACCTGAACATCCGCAGGAGAGGACTCTTTAAAGTAGAGACACTACATACTTATATACACCTGAACATCAGCAGGAGAGGACTCTTTAAAGTAGAGACTCTACATACTGATATACACCTGAACATCCGCAGAAGAGGATGTAATGTGACACCGGTTTCCTCTCAGGTAAACACCCACAGACCCGCCCATCTAGACTGTGATTGGTTGCAGGTTTGGCGGCAACATTCATTTCCTGCCATCCATTGCAGCAGAACAACCGCAGGAAGATCTCGGAGCAACACACTCTTATTGGTCGGTAAAAACTATGGATGTATTGGTAAAAACTCAAAAGTGTAGTCGTTGAATCTTTATAAAACGTTTTCTCCCTCCACCTCGGACTATTTCTCCAGTTCTTTTTCTTTTTCTTGCTGCACAAACCGAAAGTAACAGCTCCACAATCACCCAGAAAACCCGGACTGGATCAACAGAAAACCCGGACTGGATCAACAGACTGACTACCGTGAGTAAGAGGATAGATGAGATAAACTTTATTGATCCCTATTTTGGACATGTTATCGTCACAGCAGCATAGATAAGACATTTTTACATGAATTATAGGTAAATAAAATACAATTTAAGATTGAAGATATCAGAATCAGTGCATTACCAGGTGGCATCCTTACCATCCTTACCATCCTTACCATCCCAGGTAAAAAAATATTATGCTTAAATTATACTTTTTAAAGAATGTACTAAGTATACTTTTAGGATAAATGTGCTATTTTGGTCGCATTCAAGTATACTAAAGTGTACTCAAGTAGTACTTGAGTACTCAAGTAGTACTTGAGTACTACTTAAAGTGGACCTATCATGCTATATGTAAATGATATATTGTAGGGCCATACCTATATAAGGTATATTTATTAGGGCTGTCAAGTTAACGCGTTAATAACGCGTTAACGCAAAAAAAAATTAACGGCACTAATTATTTTAACGCGATTAACGCATGTGTATTTTTTGTCCTCGGCCGCCGTAGTTTCAGAGCGCATCGAGTGTAAAATACCATCTACAAGCTGATGCTGTCAGCCCCGCTCCTACCGCCCGCTTGTGGCAGACCACACTTCCACGCTCACCGGCAGGCCCGGACTGGCCATCGGGAGGACCGGGAGGGAGTGTGTTTGTGTGGCGCGACTCGCGCGAGCGAGGCACACCTTACTTGTTGTTGTTAGCATCTGGTGCTAGCTAGCTGCGCTAACGGATATAAGGAGCTGTTTCAATGACATTTCGCCGACAACTGCGCCGAGCACTTGACTTTATGCAGGTAGCCAGACAGTGGGACATTGTACGAAAAGTCAGCACACTCAGCACGGATAGTACGCGCAACATGATTGCAGCGTCCAGGCAGCACACGTTCGAGCATATATGCCTTGAGCTGCACATAGCTCCAACGATCCACACACACACACACACACACACACACACACACACACACACACACACACACACACACACACACACACACACACACACACACACACACACACACACACACACACACAGTATTATTGTATGAGAGAGGTTCCAGGTTGAATTGAGGTGAATATTTGTAATGTTCAGAGGTTGTTGTGTTTAATATTCATGAGAATATTTGTCATTGTTCAAATGATAAAACAAACATATAAAGCATATTTGTCCACTCATATGTTGATAAGAGTATTACAAACTTGAAAGATATCCCTCTAAGGTACATTTAGAACAGATAAAAAATGTGCGATTAATTTGCGATTAATCGCGATTAACTATGGACAATCATGCGATTAATCGCGATTAAATATTTTAATCGACTGACAGCCCTAATATTTATACGTTTCTGTTTTCAAAATACCAAACAGATTATGCATTTTAGCCATGCCTCATTTCGCTCTATGTGCTGTTTGCTGTCTACGGGGCTGATTCTGTGAGCTGCAGCTGACCACGCCCCCCTGCAGGAGAGGGGAGCCGTGCTCTGATCAATTCAAGAGGGGGAGAAAAAAAGATCTCCGTCCTCCGTGTTTTATTATATAGAGTCGTTATTCATTTGTTTTAAAGCTCAATAAATAACAAAGAAGACCTTTGACCGGCACTTTTCTAATTTTGTCCGGAAGATTTAAACTTTAACGGACATCTTGACCGGCGAAACAAACTGAAACTGAAACTCTGCCGCACGGTCCCCTCGTTCCTTGGAAGAGGCGGAGAGGTGGGTGTTTGTCATCTGCTGGTGGACTAACCGGAGAGAATTACAGTGCTTGCCTCGATGGGGAGGGATTGCATTGAATTAAAGCAGCGGCAGCAAACGCTTGCCTCTGGGAGGGAGAAAAAAAGCCACAGCGGAGAATAAACAGAAAGGTAACCATGGTAACTATGGGCGGGAAGTCTTCTTCGCTGCTTTTGTGGCAGACTACAGCGCCACTTACAGGCCTGGCATATGTACTACAGCGTCTCCAGCGCTTTCGAACGGCAATGGCCGGCCGTGGCCCAACTCCACATTCCCCTGATAGGTGGAGAGTTGGCCCAATAGCCGTAGCGCCACTTCTGTGACGACATAGAATTGTTCAAATCTGGATCAGTTTTGATCAGATCCGTTGCAGCCCCTTTTTTAGAGATTTGGGTATGGAGGAAAATAGAGAGGGTTGTGTTTTCTGACACTTGGTGAGTTCCCTGGAACACCGGGGACACATATTCATGTAGAAAAGACGTACAAAAGTGCATTTTGCATGATAAGTCCCCTTTAATCATTAGTTGAGTATACTTGAAGTGTAAAATTGTGTGCTAAATTGGCATAACTTTTTGTAAACTTTAAGTGTACTGAAGTACACCAGTTAAAATCATGATTTGTGTGCATTCGAAACACACTTTAAGTACAATTGTATTATATCACCAGCGTGTTGGAAATATACTTAAAAGGGCATTCGTGTGCATTCGAAACACACTTTAAGTACTGTAGGAGTCGGGAGGGCTGATCATTTATTCCGGCAAATGACTCAGACCTACTAATTGACCTAACAGAAGTTATTGAGTCTATGTAAGTTTACTGCTTGGCTCAGATCCACCAACGTCAGCAAGATCTCACCTCCTGAAGGATTTTGATATCAGTAATGAGGTGTCGAGTCCAGGACTCGAGTACTCCATCTCTGACTCAAGTACAATATCTGAGTACTTCTACTTTTACTAAAGTACAAGATCTGAGTACTTCGACTTTTACTCAAGTACAAGATCTGAGTACTTCTACTTTTACTCTAGTACAAGATCTGAGTACTTCTACTTTTACTCTAGTACAAGATCTGAGTACTTCTACTTTTACTCTAGTACAAGATCTGAGTACTTCTACTTTTACTCTAGTACAAGATCTGAGTACTTCTACTTTTAATCAAGTACAAGATCTGAGTACTTCTACTTTTACTCTAGTACAAGATCTGAGTACTTCTACTTTTACTCAAGTACAAGATCTGAGTACTTCTACTTTTACTCAAGTACAAGATCTGAGTACTTCTACTTTTACTCAAGTACAAGATCTGAGTACTTCTACTTTTACTCTAGTACAAGATCTGAGTACTTCTACTTTTACTCTAGTACAAGATCTGAGTACTTCTACTTTTACTCTAGTACAAGATCTGAGTACTTCTACTTTTAATCAAGTACAAGATCTATACTTATATCACCTCTGTTTATAGCCTATGAAAAAAACTATTAGAAAACGAAGGCTAAAGCTAATGTTAGCAGATAGTGACAATGTATGCTAGTTAGCTAGCTCAACGATAATATTGCGACAGAAACATTTTTCTGTTCACATCACGCTCTGCCGCTCCAACAGGGAGCTCTGCTCTGAACACCTGAACGGTAAGGCGATATGGGTCCGTTCTTATTGTGCATCCATGGGTAAAGGTAAAACCTTTATATATACAGTCTATGGGTAAAACGCATGTAGTACTGAACACGTAACATGAACGTCCCGGGCGGCGCGGGCCCGTGGGTTAGATGCGCGTTCATAATGCCGAGGGAAATAACTCTTGAATATTCTCATCAGAGTCCGGCGCACTTCCTGGGGGCTTGGTGTGAAAGCGCCGCCAATGTGCCCCGCCACACCTCCAAGCAGCCTGTGTTGTGAATTGCCAAATAACTAGCGCTTAGTCCGCTAGCTCAATGCTAACATATAATGGATAACGTAATTGACGCGCTAACTGAAATTAGCATTTAGATATCGGTAATGTTAAACAACAGTCAACATGCTTAAAATAAACGTAATACTTACAGGCATTCATTTGCTGTGCTCTGAGGAAATGACTGATATTATTGATGAATTAATATTACCTGTAAATGTATTTCATCCAGCTGAACAAGGATAATTTGCTCCTCTCAAACAAGGACTCTCGTCATTTTCCCTCGGTGTTTTATACGTCGGTACTTCCTACAAAAGACAAATCGTAAATTCCTAGAACTTATCTTTGTAACATTACATATCAGTAAACAGAGGAAGTCATCGTTAAAACCCGTGCTAAAAATGTAAGACTTACCACTGCAGTCCGTCGACGTTTGAGTGTTTCTCCAGTTTCATTCTCTTTTTGCAGAGTTTGCATTTCATTTTTCCTTGAAGCAATTCCCTTTTCATTAGCCATTCAATTAATTTTTTCTTTTTTTTAAAAGTCTGTCTTCCGTCAATAAGACTGAGTACTTTGGTGTGCAGTGTCATGATAACCTAAAACCATAGACTACTGCGGTGTTACTACTGCGTTACTGCGGCCCGTCCACAAACCAACACCCAAGATGTGCTGCCGCTGGGCCAGACCGGAAGTTGAAGCACAGCGAACTCCGCGGAGCGCACTAGCGCCCTAGCACCCTGATCCTCATTTCTTGTTCACACGATTCAAACCAATAGTTTTGATGTTTTGAATCAGGTATTTCATCTTCCTTGTTAAATTGACAAAGCACAGCTTCTGTATCTTCACTGATATACAATTAAAATATTAAAACCGTAATAAAGTGTTAATGCGCTGCAAATCGGGATCCGGCTGGAGCACTACGCAAGACACGCCCCTTCATAGCATTCAAGTGCTACGATTGGCCATGAGCCTGTCACGTGCATCTCGGCTAGTGACAAGACGTGAGTTCAACCCATAGACTGTATAAAACCCAACCTCTACACCTTATACAGTCTATGCTCTACACGCTTGGAACTGAAAATGGACATGAGGAGAAGCAAACAAAAGAAGATGGGGCCCCGCAAGCGTTTGTTGTCAGAATGTAAGTATGAATTGAAATTTATTTTTTATTTGAAAAATTAGTAACACTGCTTCGCGAAATCATCTCAATTGACACATATTACACTTTTTGTTCTGTGCTATCTGATTTGAGGTTGCTCGCTAAACCACGAGGACCCACTGTGACACAGTTGTTACATAATAATAATAATAATAATAATAATACATTACATTTATAAAGCCCCTTCCTGGAGCTCAAAGCGCTTACATGACATTTAAATGTTCTGTAA